TATCGATTTATGTCTTTCTACTCAATGATAAATATGTAGAGTTTGAGCTTTCTGTTGTAACAGGCTTTAAGCAAGTGCTTCACATCATTTTCATGGTGCCCAAGATTTTTTGGCCTTTTAAAATAACCAAGTTGTATCTTGTTTTGTTGGTTTTTTTAAGATGTTTTTATTTTTTTTTTTGCAAACCATGTTGCTTTTAGGAGAGAATCTATAGAACCATGTTAACGTTTTGATTGTTTTATAAATGGATGGAAACATAAATTACAATGTCTATAGAATTTTTAGTTAAATTGGTGTACTTTATAGTCGACGTACACCCACGTCTTTATTCAAATGCATATCAATGAGACAGCAAATACATTGTTCTTTGAAGTCTTATTGATACGTACTGCATTTTTAGGCAAAAGTAAGTTAACGAATAAAAAATAAAACAAAGAAATTAAAGCGACAAATAAATAAAGCATTTAAAAAACCTGAAATTGATACATAAAATAATATTTTTTTGTTTAATCTAACTTTCGAAGATTACTTTTCCTGCGAAAACTGTAGCTAATTGATTACCTCACTTATATTAGTTATGGTAAACGATAAGCATATACTACATGTATATATTTTATAGTATGCATCATAGGAAATGTTTGAAATAATTATAAAAAATAAGTAAAAAGCCAAATCCTCTAAAATCTTAATAATTCCCTGTCCAACCCCGTAAATACCAAGTGTCCAACAAACTATCTTCAAAAATATTCGGGTCAACAGATTTAAAGGCAAGTGAAATATAAATAAATGAAACGCTATAACCAAACATCCTTATGATTAATCAAACCAAAAGTGGTTAAGGTCAACTTTACACGGACAAGTTTTACCTTAGCTTTTTTTATCAGTTTTTTTTGTCAGCTTATAGTCAAATTTTTTGTAATGAATCAGTCAAATACTAAAACACAGGTCCTTTGTATGACTTGGGATAATAACTTCTGGGATTAACAGTCCCTGGTCAGGGTATACATACTTGTATAAAATTTATAACAGTGAACGGTCAAAACAATAATATTAAAGTTTTAAATGACTCGTTTAAAAAAAGTTATAATTGGAGAGTTTAGTCAGGGAATATTTTGTCGTTCTTTTTATTTGATATTTTTTCAATGAGTGTTGGGGATTTTTTCTCTCGCTTTTATGCATGACGTGAATGTTTTGGAAATGAGTGAAAAAAAACCTCGGTCACTCTATTTAGTGACTTAACCTAGTTCGACATAAAAAATATGTCTATTAATCTCATTCCCCGTAATCATGCTGGATATCGGACAATCGTAATGTTAGGGGATAAATGTTCTCCTCTTCAGTAACATTTGTCTTTTATATAAAAACAAGTTCATGACCTCTGTCAATTCACTGACCATTTTACTTCGCAAGAATGACTCGTATGATATTTACAAATGATTTTGTCATATTTATGTAGGGAATGTCAAACACACTCTTCGTGGGTTAAATCTATGCACGATGTTCAAATACAAACGACTCAGCATTTAGTTAGTACTTTATGTCCGTTTTCATAAAGTAAATAGTATAGTCTGGTTATTAAAAGGATCTTTACTTTCTGTATTGATATTTTTCAGGGTAGTTCATACTATAATGTTTTTGAAAATTATATAATCCGACTTGTTGTGTTTAATTCTCTTTTGTAAAGGTTATATGAGAGAAAAGTTTAGATCATATGAACAAATTTATAATATGGTGAATGTCGGGTGGGTAAACGCTTGCTTGACAATCATTCATACAGACCGACTACTGAATAAAGTGATGCAATTTCTACAAAAAAGAAAGAAAAGATAAAAATAATGTATCGAGTAGTATTGCAACTATGCTATATTTATAAGTACGAATATTCAAATACATGTAATATATTACAAATGTTTTATTCATCTTGATCTCTGTAATTCATCCTGTCGTGTGTCTTTTAACTGATGCGAAATATCATCAAAGAATTGTATCGCATCACTCCAAAGTTCATTGTTTCGATGGATTAAAAACACTGCTGTTTGTTTTAAGTTTTTACTGCTTTTCCTTTTGTGGTAAAATGTACTTGCTAGAAAATAATGCACAAATATCACTGATAATATAAAACTTTACCATGTAGAATGGCGGATCATTGAAATTTTATAACTGATACGTTTGTAAATATATAGTTCATACAATTATGAAAAAACTGACAAAGCTGAATTTAGCGATCTTGGATATTTTATTTAGACTCAAACTTTTTGTATTTATGGTTGTTGTCCATAGTACAAGCCGTTCAGAAGCAAGTGCGTCGGTATTGGCATGATTTGAACAAACACTTAGTTTATAAATCTTCAGTTTCTACAATTATATTATTGTGCTTAAACTTCCTAATACAATGTTGATCTTAAAGATTTTTGTTGTTTTATTTAGACCCTTTTTTTGTTCGTGTGTATGCTCTCAAACGTTATGTATTTTGGCGGTCCAAATATTTGATAATGCAGAAACATGTACCTGGCCTTTCAATCATAAAACTTTACTCAGTACTAGGAAGTACGGTGCTCTAAACACAAAATTCAATATTTTAATTGGTTGATTTCTGAGTCTGCGTTCTCGAAAATTTCTTGACTAATGACGGTTCTTCAAGAAACACGTGTTGTAGAAATCATATCATTTAGTTGTTTGTTATTCTATTGAGTATCACCTACGAATTTTTATCACATAAAACTATATATGTGATTGTAAATATTGACCTATGCATGAACTTTATAAATAAATCATTTATCATTATGTGAATATGATGAGAAACGTATTATTCCATAGACAAGTGAATTGTAAAAAACAAATGTATGTCATAAGATCAATACTTCGCTAAACCTATAAATGCTTGATATGAATATATAACTCATCAAAGATACCAAGCTTTATAATGTTGTACGCCAGACGATCGACTCGTCAATGACGCTCGATTCAAAAAAGTTTATAAAGTCCACTAAGACATCATTTACGTATGACGACGCTAGACGTTAAGAAAACCAAGATATATATTACATGTATATATAATGGATCAAGTAAACCAATTATGGCATGTACAGAAACACATTGAGGAGTGTTTCAATTATGTTAAGTAGAAATTGCATAATTCATTGACTGTAAGTACATGCAACAAGTAATGCAGTTAATTTGTAGTAATTTATTCTGTTTTAAATATATAGACTGACACAGTTGTATGTCCAGTTTTGATTTATACATGTTATATACCAGTCTAGTAACCAGATAATGCACAAATGCCTGCTGTATTTGCAACGAACTACCAACAGCAAAATGTTTCGAATTAGATAGAAAGAATTCAGTTTATACGCTTATTTCAAACTGTATAGAATTACCTAAAATGTCTTTTATATATCTATAAACGAAATGTATTTTAAATATAATATGTGAATACCCCCCCCCCCCCCCCCCCCCCCTAAAAAAAACCAAAACAACCGTACATTTGAAATTCTTATTTTTATAATACTAGTACATGCATAGCTTTATCGAAACTAGAAAGCATTGTTGTAACCTTAGGCTAATACATTTAAAGAACCGGGATCATGATTACAAAAGAATTTTCAAAACAGTCTCGTTCTTATCAAAATTAAAAATATTTGTAACAAGACAACTCAAGTCTGATATACATTATACAGTCACCATTTGATTTATCGAGGCAATGGTCCGTTGATCTGGAGATCAAATGTTGAAATCCGATTACCTACAACGAGAAAACGAAAGTCAAAATGTACTAAGCACATCAATTTCAGGTTTGTTTCATCTTCTCAATTTCAATAACAAACAACAGTATTCTCATAAATATACAACATCTTTTTACTATTTCAACCTTAATAAGGCGAGTGCATTCCTTATATGCATATACGCACACCATTTTTTTCCAACTTCAAATTTAATACGTCACCGGTCAGATATAAGATTCAGAAAAGTAATAGGTAATAACAATATTCTTAAAAATACAGTTATTATACATTATTTTCGATTTTTTAAGATAACCAAAAACTACGACAGGATTTTCTTCGAAACCTTACCTTCAGGAATAAAATACATGTATAACTTGTGAATCAAAATATGTGTAAAAACTATGTATTTTTGTTAAAAAGATGTCAATACAACTATTAGCTATGCAGCAAAATGAAATAATTAAAAGATAAAATTAAACAAAAGAAAGATAAAATAATAGTATAAAATATCTGAGATGGAGAAGCAATGCATTGCTACTACATAGACGCATGTATGTCGTGTCCATCTCTTCATATGATTTCCATAAAATACCATTTCTTTATAAAAAAAACCATCGAAAATAATATGTTCGAGTGTATATTTATGTACAACATTTCTGTCATACTATAAATATCCATGAATATTTCATTTACGGTATAAATGTCTCGTTTATTAAGTCTAACACAGGATGCAACTGGCGGTATCTTTAATGTACAGCCACCATTCATCAAAGTGTCACAGTGATCCTCACATTGTCTTGTTTCTTATAACGCAATAACTTCAATTTTTCAGTAATAACATTGATAAAAGAGAGGTATTGTAAACTTATAAAAACAATATACAATATAAAAATAAGGAGATGTGTTATGATTGCCAATATGACAACTATCCACAAGAGTTCGAGTAAGTGGATATAAGCATTAATAGCACTTATATAATTTGAATTGGCTGCAAGGGAGGAGAATTTACTTTCACAAATATGAATAAAAAGAGAAGTGGGTATATACTATTTCAACAATAAAAAGTTTCCACGATTTTTCGTAATCCTGTCTAACAACAATATAAGATGGACAATTACAAGTAATGATTATCAGACACAAACACCAATATTGTCTCACTCAGCACACATATTTTTGAAGATTACGTTTATTACATATGGCAAGGGTTTAAGATTCGCTTCATCAAATAAAATGTCCATAAACAGAAATAAAAAAATCCACCATACTCTTTTTCAGAGGTTTCGATCATAAGTGTTGCTGTTGGCTTGCATAATCACCATCCACGTCCGCCACCGCCACAACCACCACAACGCCTACGACCACCACCACCCAGACCACCACCACCAAATCCACCAGGTAAGATCATCACGTATTACACATTACATACGACTCAGAAAGGATTTCTTTTGAATTTTTTTTCTCTCGATGTTATTTATTATGATTAAAATAAATAATTTTTGAAGAAAAAAAAAACACACATCTAAAGAAAAATTTATTATTTTTAACTAAATTTTAGAAAATGACCTCCTCGATTAAATAGAAATTTGCAAATGTTTACAAAACTTTTGATGTAAATAGTACCTCGTGTCGAAATCAGACAGCGTATATATAATATTCACAGTTTTTAATTGGTTAAAATTCACGTTTTCAACCATTACATTGATAGACACCAGTTACTGAAGGATCTACTGCGCGCTCGTTCTAGACAGTCGTTTCATTAGAAACGTATGATGAGAAATTACAAATGTAACAAACGTTTATTTTCTGTTTTTATGGGTATATATATTTTTTTTTAATATCTTCTTCTGACAAATATCATTAATAAAATATGTCTACATTTACTGATATAGAACTTATCCAGTTATGAATGATCGCATATAAAACTTATCCAGTTATGAATGATCGCATACAGATGTCTTACAGAAAACAAATTGATTACAAACTAGATGACAAAGTGTCTAACGCAACTTAAATAATCATATGTTTAACAGCAGCGACAGTGTAACCGAAGATAAACGACACATTTTTCTAAATAACTCAGATTTTTATAAATGTACTAACAAAGTAATAGATTCAAGAAGGGTTAAAATTGGCCCTCAAATTATAACACATATTTTGCACATCGCATTATACATTACGAAGTCAATTATGCATTATTTGTTTTGTTACGCCAGTTTTGGTGCAATTTTTCATATTTTATTACAGTTTTTGCAAAACAGATATAAAAATATGTGGTATGAGTGCCAATGAGACAACTCTCCATCCAAGTCACAATTTGTAAAAGTAAACCATTATAGGTCAAAGTACGACCTTCAACACGGAGCTTTGGCTCATACCGAACATCAAGCTACAATGTATAAAGGGCCCCAAAAATGACTAGTGTAAAACCATCCAAACAGGAAAACCAACGGTCTTATCTATATAAAAAACGAGAAACGAGAAAGTTCATTTTGACTGCAATCAGCGATCCAAAAAAGTGTTGTGTCTAGGTTTTCGGATCAAAATACCTTGATGACCTTTTGGTTCAAAACATTTTGGATCGTAGGTTGTGGTCAAGGTTTTCTTTTCGTTTTGTTACAATGTAAGACATGTCAAAACTGTTCTGACTATGAAGCATAATATGTACTTTTATGACGGGATTTGTTTTACTTGGCATTTAGGCTGTTTAGATACAATCTCTAAGAACCAAAGTGTGACCATTTCGATAATTTATTATAAAGTTAAAATTCAAGGCTACATTTTTGCAAAAGCGAATCTATTTGAATTCCGAAGAAAAAGATATCGGTGTCTATTTTTGGATGTTGATATTCCAATGGGAGGATTTTATACCAAATTTATTATTTATGACAAGGGGACAACATATCTTCTTTTAGTAACGTTTCATCGGTGCTACAGATTGAGTGCAAAATAAAAATTTTGTTGAGCGCTTCTTCAATTAGAAAAAAAAAAAAATTACTCAGAACGTTTAAAAAGTCCTATCACCTTTACGAGGTTCAGTGTCGAAGAATTAATGAATCTATTTGAATGCACGGAATTTCACACCAACTGCTAAATGCATAAACCAAGCAGGCTCTGAAATTTTAATAACTTATAAGAATTAATTTGCGTTATTGGCAGATCTTTGGAGGTCTCTGCTAAATTCATCAACTGATGAAAATTTAGGAATTGTGTCAACAAAAGAATTTTGAACCGATTCAATCACAATCATTGTAGCATCTAAGTCAACGGTATCTTTCAACTTTGAAATGGCACCAGTTTAGTACATGTTAATTCCGTTTCTGCATCATAAGAGTTTTTACTGATACTAGATGGATATAGAACACGTTAAGGGTCAAATGGCCCCTAAAGTAATTTGTTTTCTTCAAAATATTTCAAATTTTTATAATTTAATGTTGAATCTATGTACTTTTATAAACATTACAGGTTTTGTTTAATATATATCATAGTACGTTATATCAGTCATGAAATGGCAGTCTTACAAATTTAAGCACATTCTTGACGGATTGGCGATTAGATGTTGAGAAATAGTATGGAGCACATCTCTTGTCATCAGCTATATTAAAACGGATTTTGTTTTTCTCGGTTTGCTTGCAAAACAATATTTTGGTCAATGTATCTGATCTGTGTTTACTTAGCCACAATGCTCTTCAAATTAAGAGTTGAATTCTGAGTAACAGTTCAAGTTAACTAACTAAAGATTCGAGTTTAATTTCGATTTAAGAAAATTAGAGATGGAATTTAAGGTCGTGTTGTTTAGGCCATGTTTAACGTAGACCTTACAAAAAGAAAACGTCAAAATAAACAATATTTAGTGTTCAGCTGACGTTATAAAAAAAGCAGATGTGGTATAATTGCTAATTAAACAACTATCCACCAGGGTCCAAATGGCATTTATGTAGGCAACTGCAATATATAGGTATACGCATGGTCTTCAACAATAATCAAAACACATTCCGTAGAGTCAGCTTTTAAAAAATTCCGACATGACAAAACGATTTTGAATATAAAATATTCTATTTATACATTTTGAAAACTCCTATTTACCTCTGTGTTGTTATGGCGTATATGTTATGCATGCTGTTTTGTTTTAAATCATTTGAATAACTTATAAGTACATATGCTATAAAATGACCTTATTTATGACATATTCAAATCATTTTTCATCAAATTCTGGACATGCATATGATACACGTAGGTATCAATAATTTATCAATAACTAAAACACTGGCGATATGCATTCTACTAGACATGACAAAATTATGAGTGTTGGCTGATTTACCATAGCGCTTAAAACAGACGACAATGTCAAAACATGTTTCAACGTATTCCTGTAGTGTAAGATTCACCAAGATTGTTAATGCTAACATTCCAGCATCGCCTGCATATGGAGTATATATCTCCAAGTTGATACAATATTCCAGAGCTTGCAGTTGTTCCTATCATGATTCCCACGGTAGAGAGTTGCTGTTTACAAGGAAATTATTAAACCAAAGGTTCCAAGTTGTGAAATTGAAGTCATCCCTACGAAAATTGTACGGACGAAATCACGAGTTGGTTGACCGTTATGTAATATCTGTTTCACAGATAACGATGGATATGTTCTAACTGTCGTAACCACAAGCCCGTCCTCTTTTCTTCGAAAGTGACATACTGAATAACACTTATCAACCTTAATCAAATGACCTTTATCAGCTTTTATCAATGATCTCATTGAAAACAATCAGCGGTTGTCGATTTCGAAGGCTAGAAGTTCAACTCTTTTTCCTACAAACTAACTAATCTAACTTATCACAAATTTAGATAATGCGGTTTTAGTTTTAATGGTTTTCCGTCAGTCTATATGTTTCTTCGTTTGCCGCCGCATCCCTGTCTTTTTTATTTAGATTTTTGATATGATTGTGTATTGTTCTTTAGGTTTAAATTCTTACACCCGTTTCACGCGAATGTTTTAGAATTTTCCATCAATTCTAATTGAATTTACGAAAATATTTATTATCATGATTATTATTTTAATGCATTTCTGATGTGAAATTTAGATTCTCCATATTTGTTTGAATTTAAACAAGTCATGAAACTCTTATTTGCCTTTTTTTCATTTTAATACTTATTTTTCACCTACAATAGATGGTTTCACTTCTGTAAATATAGACAATATAGTTTCCCATAGAAACTCCCTTTACGGCCAAAACTATGTCACTTTTACTTTGAAGTTTTGTAAAAAATTATGTCCTAGAATGGAAAAATCATATGCACTACTATTTTATTCAAAGGTCAAAACATAGGGCTGTGTGGCATATTTTCAACATTTATATGCCTCGAACTTCTAAGAGTATGAACTAATACTAATATTATGTACAACCCCTGCCTCATTATTTAATTTGACCGCCTTTTTTACTATAAACTTGAGAAAATTGTGATTCCAGTGATATCTATTTTTAAACAAATATCTCTTTGAACAAAACCACCATTAAGAGGTCACGTATGAATGGTCCTTAAAAATGCACCCTTTGCAGTTTTTCTAACGTAATCTCTAACAAAACTCCTATCTATAAATAAAATATTTAGATTTTGATAAATGATTACTATTGGTAATAAATATCTTTCATAAGACAATAAATAGCTATTGGATGAAAGATTTCATTGCCAGAAATACAGAGAGGCGTGAACAAATGACCCATTAATGTTCTTAAGTGGACATGAATTTAGTAGCATGCATATCATCAGTGTCTTTAGTTATTGCTCAATTATTAATATCTACCATGTTCATGACCAATGATTATAATATGCCATAGGTCAAGCCTTTTTGTATTGAACATATGTATATTTGAATGCTTTTTAAAACAAACCATCATCACATGTAAGAAGCAAAAACAAAACAGGATGTAACCTCAAGTTTAAAAAATGCATGAATGAATATTTTATATTCAAAGTTGTTTTTATGAATACTGTTTGGAAATAAACGGTAGGAATTATACATTTTAAGTGGACTTGAATTATCAATAGTGAAAAGACAGCTAAATTTGCACTGAACTGATACGATACAAATGGGTAAAATTAGAGTAAATGAACACAAGTGCAAATTATCTGCTATGGAGAACAAACCATTAACATTAATACACATTGTAGTGAAGTATGTCGCAATCAAATTTGGTTAGAACATGTATGTTATAGTAGAAAAGTTACTTATGTTTGTATGTGAGCATTGTCTAACCTTTACAAATAAAACGATTCGTGGAAATCATATTTGCAACATTGTGAGAAAAGACAAAAATATTATTTTACTTTTACAGCAGCCGATGTTCCACAATATTCAAAATTTCAGGTGTACATATGTCGATTTTTAAGCGCTTACAACATTCGCACATTCGCTAATAACAAAAAGGAATCATAAGTATTTTCAAATCTACTATAACAAACCTGTTTGGACCTGAGCTTGTGTTATATATGATTCTGTACATAAGGTGGTTTATATAGTTCATATTTACATATAACTCAGGAACTACAACCCCTAAACCTACTACCACTACTGCCACTACTACCACACCGGCACCGGAAGTAGAAGTAGAATTAGAGGAAATATCAACACTCGCACCTAATAGTACTACAGTAGCCCCTTCGACTGTTAAGCAACCAGCAGCACACTATCATCAGGGCGGATATCCATATAATTACTATAACCAGTACTATCATAACAGTGGACAGCCGTCTAGCCAGACTCAGCATAGCCAACCATATAACTATAATCAGAATTATAATAGTCAACCATATGACCAAAATCAGAATTATAATAGACAACCATATGACCAGAATCAATATTACAACCAAGCTCAAGGCTACAATTCTGGATATTACTCTGGACAATCTTATGTTGCAGGTCCGGGACAGAATCAACCTGCATACAATTATGTAACAGGTGCACCACATCCCACGACATATCCTTACCACCAGAATCATCCTCCAAATAATCCATATTCTGCCACTCAACCGCCACCTGCAGCCCACGCTCCTTATGTTCAGCCTCAGCAACATCCAGCTGCACATGCTCCGCAACCAAACTCTTACCCCCAGTACGATCATTACGCCGCATCACCACCAACACCAACATCCGCCACCCACTACTACCCACCTGATCAAAGAAGTAATCACCAACAGCATCAACAGCCTAATCCTGCTCAACCTCAGCCTGATTACTATCCTCAGCAAAATCAATACCAACAGAGCAATAACCAACAACCGCCTCCTGCTCAGCCTTTAACTCAAGCAGATTACCATTCACAACAAAGTCGACATCAGCAGACCAGCAATCAACAACCAGATCCAGCTTATCAACCTGGGCCTGCAGGACCTCCAGCAAGACCAAAAGGACAGAATCCACCTCAACGTTTACCAACTCCCCCGGCTAACAGTCTTCCACCACAGGCGTCTTCAGGAAGGCGCCAGACACAATCTGTGAATAGCCGGCCAGTTTTAGATGAAAAGTATCAAACCAGATATGAAAGACCAAGATCTTACAAAGCTGATGGTAATTTACCATCTGCTCCAATACCTTTACCAGAAAGCCGCAGCAATGGCATAGTTGATAATCGACCAATTGCACAATCTCCTGATGTTCGCTATAATGAAGTTGCAAGAGACACCCAAATAGACAGACGACCTAGTGTACAATCACAAGACGTTCGATATAATGAAGTTGTGAGAGATAGCCAAGTAAACAGAAGACCCGTTGAAAAATCACCTGACGTCCGTTACGTAGAACCTAGATCAGATATTGTATACGTTAAAACTTTAGATCGCAGGCAACCCGAGGCACCAACTGCGGAAAGCCGTTACTACCAGGCAGAACAAAGACCTGCAGATTCAATAAGTTATCGCCGTGCAGCAGATATTCCCCGACGTTCTGAAATACGTACAGACATTAGTCGACAAGCTGCTGACTACGGTATAGGTACAGAAACAATTGCGTCAGAAAGTAGATATCTTCAAAAATCCGAAGGAAAACCACCAGGAAATATCGCTTATTTAAAGCCATTGGATGCACCATCAGCTACTGTAAAAGCAGAATACAATTATATGAAAGAGTCTGAAAAAAGACAACGTCTACCCACTGAAAATCAATTATTGGAGATTAAAAGACAGCAACTGGAATTACTAAAACTGCTTCAAAGAGAGAAAGAAAAGTCATCAAAAAGACAAAATCCGTACTTTAAAGCATTGTTTGAAAACAAAACCCCGGAGCTAAATAAAGAAAAGATACCGAAGACGAAAGACCAATGTCCACTTTATAAGTACACAGTAGAAAAAGATAGGATAGAGATACATACAGAGCCAGGAAGATGTAAAATGTAAGTGTTAGCATTAAAATTATTTTGTAGTGTTCTTACGGAGAAAAAAATCAGTAGTTTAAAATTAAAACTATGGTATCGGCTTATAACATCAGACTTATTCATCCTCACTGTTTTCTTTTCTTCATTGCAAGACTAAAAAAAATGTTTTTTAAATTCATGAAAAAGTGTACCAACGGGGAAAAGGTGGGGGAAAACAAACCACAGAGATTGATAATAAAGACACAGGATATAAATGCTCGGTATTACCTCCATTCTACTTGTTTCTAAGTCTTGTACAATCAAATTTACATGTTGAGACAATGTATAGTAAGCAAGCTTCGAAGACTGTTCTTACTTACTACAATTCACAAATTGGCTACGTATGGATAGACATTTTAGTAATGATGTGATGTCTTATATCATACAGTACACATTCTGTAATACATTGATTGATTGCTTGATTGTTGTTTATCTAACTAATTATAATTTCAAGTATGTCATTGGTAACTTAATTTAAAAAGTCGTTGTGATTCCTTCAAAAATTGTAATTAACTGTTGTTTGCTTAACGTCCAGTGGAAAATATTCAGTACACATATTTATATATTATGTCTGTTAATTTCAATGTTGGTCATGAAATACCGTGATTTTACATTCAAATGAAACCCTATGTTCCTCCATGTGAACGAATTTCACTCCACTGATGTCATATAACAGTAGGTGTTGTATCGAACCGATGTTAGAACGCGGAGAAAAAGATACAGTTCCTTGCATTTTCTACTTTATTTACATCAAAAGTCAATGAAATATAAAGATCAACAAATCCAAGAATACATATCGAAAAATCTGAAAAAAAAACTCGAGACTGAACAACAGATCAAATTCAAAACCAACACGGATCTATCTAAAACAGTACATCTTTGAGCAAACTATTGGAGTACAACAAATTAAACAGGGTCATAATGTGAATAAACACGTTTGTAGTGACACATAAAGACCAACGATAAAGAAAATTACGGTGGTTTGAATATTAAATCACACACAGGTCAACGAAAACATTTTTTTTTAAATTTCACAAACTGGAACCTTGTCACTGAATTACTAGGTCTATGTTTCTGGAACGGAATAAACTTTGAATTCATCACATTTCTAGACTCGGAGCGATTCAGAACTAGATCGATTTCTTGTACGGGTTTGGCTTTACTTTCGGTCTATTTTGGTTTGATCAGCTCTTCCACGTGGTGATTTTGCATTCTCAAATATTTTGGCCTCGAGCATCACTGAAGATACAATATTTGTCGAAAGTCGCATCTGGTGCAGTGAAATTGTCATCTTCAATGTTATTGACATATTGTATAGACACTAATTCATTGTTGAAGGCCTTATTTGAATATAGATATATTTTCATGTCGCAGTTTTGTGTCCTTTTGGGTTGCTGTTAACGTTTACCAGTCCGTCTCCTTTCATTCATTTACATATACTATAAAACAAACAAACATATACAATAAAAAATCAGCAATAAGTGAAATAAACGGAAACAACCTGAAATAATCAGAAATAACTAGCAATAACCAGAAATAGAGTTATCACAATGAATAAGACGAATATTATGAACAGATGTTTTTCCTACAATAATTTAATGCAATGTATGTTTGTTTCAGAGTAATAAAATTGCCCAAGGATGGCTCTGGGTAAGTTTAATTATACAATAAAAGGCTATAGATAACTGTTTTTGTTCAAAAATGAAAAAAAACAAACACATATCAATAGATTAACTGAATAAGTAGAATAGGAAAACAAATTTGAATCACCTCCACAGCTAATTTTGTTTGCTTGGAAATCGAAAGTGAAAGATTTGTTTTAACACTGTAACATATGAACATATCTAATATATGTACATTTCAATGGACTGCTATCAAGTAGCATCCCTACTATAGACATAAGCAAGAATATATAAAATTGTAAGATAACGAGTGATTTTGTTTTACTAGAAAAAAAAATTCCGAATAAAACATACATGTACTAGAGTTTAACAAATCAGAATCCTCGAATAAGGAAGTAAGTGCTTGTATATATGCGAAAGTCAAAAAAAAGGAAAAGCAGTGTTGATTACTCATTAGCTCATTCAATAGGAGCTAACCATGAGGACAACTATTATAGTAAACAATGATTTTGAAAAACATTCACATGTATAAACACGGGAAGTTATACCATTTTCCGCATTCGATAAATAATTCTACAAGGTGGTAGTCAAAACTGATATGTCGAAAAGACGGACAACACCGAAAGTACGAATGAACAATGGTTCTATAGGGGATTGTGATATTTTGAGCCCTGAGCACACTGGGATTCACATGAAAATTAATATTACGACCAACAATCCTATTTCAAGTGCTTATATATAATTAAAGATTTATTGTTTGAAAAATCAATATTCATAACAAAATAAATCTATTCATTCTGTGCAGAATAATTAAACGCAAATATAATAAATACGTGTTTACATAATACAGACGTGCATGCTTCCTGTTTCCGAGTAGAAACATCATTTACATCATTTTTGACGGGGAAATGTCATTTTATTTGGTAACATAATATAATTTTTATATTTCAGAAAACCAAAAGTTACATACCTCTCTCGAAACTGATAAATACATTCCATGTATAGGGAACAAAGACACAAATTAAGTTGTCCCAGAGACATAGACATATACAAGTAAAAAATGTAAAATATTGACGAATTGTTTTAAACCCAAGTGTGTACTTTTATATACAACGAATATAGTACACAAGATGTACATTGTACATGTCAAAAAATTTCTGATTTTCTCTTTCCAGTAAACTAAAAATTATTTCTATCTTTCCTTATTCAACATCTGAAATGTTGCTTGAAAGTAATAGTGATATTTTACTAGATTTTTTTTTCGATTCGGAAAACAGAATGCAATCGTACTTCTTATAAAGACATTTTTATCTTTATAATTTCTGTTGAATTTCAAATATATAGTATTACTGGAGTCTGGACATACGGAGCTCACTCCGATGAAATATTTTGCATATTTACATTAAATAGAATTAATATGAACTTGCTCAGTCCAGAATGTATTTGATTCAAGATTCTTTGAATTATTGTGATATTTAAGTGTATGATTATTATGCGAATATTGCTCATGGCTTTACTTGTGAGGTATGTTTATTTTTGCTAGTGTAACATTAATTTGTCGGTTTGTGAATGTAAATCAATTTGCTTTTGTAAGACGCTGTATATATATTGATATACCTTTTACGAAATAACAAAACACATGCAGCTTCTCTTTGTTTCAAAATCACTACGAAACGGAGCTACGGAGCAGAGCGATACATCTGGTTTTAATCAGATGTCACAAATCTTATATGGCGTGAAATTAAAAATAAATACATTCTATATATAGTAATAAAATGTCTTTTGAAATTAAGTGACACTCGTTGATTAGTTTATAAAGTGGTGCAACAATTCCAAAAATTGAAAGTGGTTTTTACAATTGGTAATTTTTTTCCGCAGCCGTACAAATATACTCTCAATTTATGCATTCATACCGGAAGTAGGAAAACAAATTTGCATATTCAAGATTAAGCTCTATAAAATGGAGGAATATACCAAAATATTTGTTGTTTATTCCAGGTGATTAAAAGACAAATGTCTATAATTTCTTAAGTCCAACAGTAATAGTTTTCTTGTAATGTATGTTGCATTATTATTGTGTGTATGTGTTGTTGTTGAAAATGTTAAATAAAAATTACATTAAATATCAAACATGTTTGAATGTTCAATGGTGTTAATATGTCCTTTGATTGAGTTAAGCTATTTCAGTTGATATTTTATAGTGTGTCTTTCTATGTTGTGATGTTACACTATTGTTTCAGAAAAAGGGTGAAGGTTTGGTACCATTAAAACGTTTAAACCCGCTGCATTTGTGTGCACCTGTCCTAAGTCAGGAATCTGATGTTCAGTAGTTGTCGTTTGTTGATGTGGTTCATAAGTGTTTCTCGTTTCTCGTTTTTTATATAGATTAGACCGTTGGTTTTTCCCGTTTGAATGGTTTTACACTAGTAATTTTTGGGGCCCTTTATAGCTTACTGTTCGGTGTGAGCCAAGGCTCCGTGTTGAAGACCGTACTTTGACCTATAATGGTTTACTTTTATACTGATTTTGATGTGGATGGAGAGTTGTCTCATTGGCACACATACCACATCTTCTTATATCTATTGAAATTTACTTCAGTAAAAGATGAAAGTTGTATTTTATCGCATGCACGCTAGATTACTTTCACTACTACTGTCAGCTTTGGTTCCCTTTTTTCCCTGCTCTCTATTATTTTATACATTAGGTTAGACAACAATTAGTCTCAGGTTTCATGGAACACGTGTCTTGTCGGAATATGACTTTGAAGTGTCAAAATATCAATTATCATATTTCGAATGATTTGGAAATTTTAGTTAAATATGAAAATATGATTATACCATGTATACTTCATTGTAATGGTATTAAAAAAAATTAAAAAAATGCTTTATTTTGGAAAAATGTCACATCAATATTTAGATTACAACTAAAAAAATAGCAAAAACAATATACTAATATATGAGCCAAAAAAATGTATTTGTCATTTAAATTCAGTTGCGTAACTTTCATTAAAAACAAGGAGCTGTAGAATGATTGCCAATGAGAAAACTATCCAACAGAGTTCGAATTAAGCGGAATTGGGCAATTACAGCAATAATGTCAATATAAGTATATACTTATACACTTAGACGTCTGCAAATGCAAGTTTCTAGCCTCGCCTGATGATGATGTCAGTTTTACTATGTTGACACCATTAAGACAATTAAGAATATGGCTACTCGATCTCTAACCTCTCCTTTTGAGGATAACAGTTTAAATGTTTTGGCTGTACAACATGTAAAACAAAGGAATATAGCTCTAAGTCTCAAGCATCCCTTTAGGAGGATGTCCGCTTAACTGTGTTTAGATTCACCATGTCAAAAAATAGAAATATGGCTCTCGATCTCTAGCATCTCTTCTGGAGGATCTCTGTTTGACTGTGTTGGCTGTACATCATGTAGTCAATCAAGAATCGTTAACATTTCCTGCGAAAGATGTCAGCTTTACTGTGATGGCAGTACATCATGTAACCTATCAGAAATATGAATATGGCTCTCGATCTCTAGCATCTCTTTGGGAGGATCTCCGTTGAACTGTGCTGGCTGTTTTCCATGTAGACACAATTTAAAATATGACTACTCTGTTGGTAACATTTCCTTCGGACGATGTCCGTTTGACTGTGTTGGTAGTACGTCATGTCTAACCTCTCCTTAGGTTGTACACCATGTAGGAAAATAGGAATCATGGTATTCGGTACTTAAATTCTTCTTACGATGATGTCAGTTTGACTGTCTTCTCTTAAAATCATGTAGACAATTAGAAATATGACTACCCGGTCTATAATATCTCCTTAGGAGGACGTCAGTTTGACTGTGTTAGAGTTACACCATGTAGACTATCAGAACTATGACTACTCTGTGTATAGCCTCTCATTAGGAGGATACGATTTTTACTGCTTTACACCATTTAAACTACCAGGAATACAACTACTCGGTCTCTAATCTCTCCTTTTTAAGATAACAGTTTGCAAGTTTTGGCTAGCATCTCTTAAGGAGGAGGTCAGTTTGACTGTGTTTGAGGTACACTCTGTAGGAAAATAAAGTATGGCTCTCGATCTCTAGCATCTCTTTAGCAGGATCTTCGTTTGACTGTGTTCGATGTTCACCATGTAGTAAAATAAGAATATGGCTCTCGGTCTTTAGCATCTCTTTAGGATGATGTCAGTTTGATTGTGTTGGATGTACCCATGTAGGAAGATAAGAATATGGCTCTCGATTTCTAGTATCTCTTTAGGAAGATCTGCGTTTGACTGTGTTGGCTGTAGACAATCAAAAATATGACTACTCTGTCGGTAACCTTTCTTTCGAAAGATAGTAGTTTTACTGTGATAGTTGTACGTCATGTAGACTATCAGAAATTTGAATATTCAGTCTCTCATCTCTGCTTAGGATGATGTCAGTTTGACTGTTGGCTGTACGCCATGTAGGAAAATAGGAATAGGGCTATTCGGTCTTTAACGTCTCCTTATTTAAGAATATGCCAGTTTGACTGTGTTGACTTTAAACCATGTTTTCAATTAGGAATATGACTACTCCGTCTCTAAAATCTCCTTACGAGGATGTCAGTTTGACTTTGTTGACTATGCAACATCTTGACAATTGGAAATATGACTACTCGGTCTTTAATATATCTTTAGGATACGGCTGTTCGGTCTTTAACCTCTCCTTAGGAGGATATCAGCATGTAAACACGTTACAAACAATAATAAATCAATCATATATTACATTTATTTTGATTGTGTGTAGCATATTTTCAAAGATTCAGTAAAGGCATAAAATGAAAACAACACTATAAATCCATGAGTCCGAAGTGCTTTTCTTGATCTACCTTCATCAGGAACGCTCAAACCGAATATTTGAAAGCTGTATACCCAAAAAGGACCTAAAAATAGCCAAATCAATCTAAGGTAAACTTTCTCTGAGGGAGTTGACAGCTTTAGTTTTTCAAAAAATTCTAAATTGATAACGGAGAGTTAAGAAAGGTTTGATATAAATCATATTAGTACCGAAGCTTTGAGTTCTGAGCTGATGATACCCTCAAGAACTGATAGACCACCAGCAGTGGTATCGGTCCAGTGCTGTCAAAAATGAAAACGACACTATATAAATTGCATGCATTTGAAGAGTTTTTTTTCTGGATTTAACTTCATCAGGAACGCTCAAAGCCGAATATTTGAAAGCCGAAGATGTAAAAAAACCGAAACAGTTGAGAGGCTACATGACAAAAAAAAAACCTAAAATAATATCCAAATCCATCAAGGTCAATTTTGCCTAAAATAGTTGAAACCTTTAGTTTCTTATTAATTTTCTAAGTTTATAAACGGAAAATTTAAAAGCTAAAGATTTATAAAAACCTGTAATCTTGAAACTTGGTACACGGGGTCATTATGAGGCAAGTTTAGTAATGAATAAAAGAAACAAAACATGCAATCAAAGCTCAACAAATCATAACTCATCAAAACTAAATGGAGATTTTTCTCTCACAATAACCTCAGACACCAGAATCCTTGATTGATAACGATTTGCTTTTCAAGACTTTCGAAATTGCAAAATACACAAAATGTATCTAACTGAAAGATAAATAAATCCAATTTGTTTACTTACTACTCACACTAATGTTATAAGTTTTGTTGGAAAAACGAATACAACATAATTTGTCTGTTTTAGCCCCCTGATAGTAAGGAGGCATTATGTTGTCCTGTCGGTGATTCGTCCCTCTGCTTATAAGGATGGCTTTTCATTATTCCTGTATCCGGTTGAAGTCTAGGTTCAATTTTGTTGATCACATCAACTAGAAACTTGATGTAATTTTTAAATAAAAACAAAATTGCCTATTTATGGTTAACACTCATATTTTTAAATCATTATTAAATCTTTTCAGAAAGCATTATATCAAGTCAAACCATGGAAACGTAGTTCCTATACTATTAACAATATGTGATATGCTTAATAACGTAATAAACTACATATAACTACTGAACCTGGTTATCACTGTACTCTGAACTAAAGCAATTAAAAAATAATACTAAACCTCACGTTATCTTTTGCAATGTATATTGCAATCCTGTTGATTATTCAAAAACTGTTCAAAAACACTGTGATGGTGTGAAAAAAGTTATGATTGTTTACATTTGTAATTTAGTTGTAAAAACTACAAAACAAATAGTCAACGTTTAAATATTGACCTAATCAGGAAGTTCAGGGTTGGCAGAATGGCGGTGTACATGTATATGTCGATTCGTTTATTTTTCTGTCTTATTGTCTTCCGTAAGTAAAATATGAATACATTTTCACTTGAGTTAAAGAATATAATACCATCTGGGGACTAATATAGCTTCCAAACGACATATGGTATACATATTTTCGTGAAAAAGTATACAAATGCTAGGTAATGTTTTTCCGTTATTGAAATGACTATCACATACATTTACTTCATGTATAATGTTGGCTAATAAAACTGAGATGTTTAAAAAAGTCCATGATAATTTTGCTGTATTATTTTTTCATTAAAACAACAAAAACATAAAATAAGAAATGAAATGTCAAAGCAGAATCTTTGATTTGTCAGTCGTTTGCAATACAAACATGAAGTTTGTGTTATACATGTACATATACAGTCAATCATAGGAAATAGTACTATGTGATGGACACAGTTTAGAGCAGTGACAAGTCAAGAAAAAAGTCGCTTATTCTAAGAGATTAATGGACCGACTTACCTCACGGCTGAAAAACCACATAAGGATAGGGCTAACATTATACTATCATTTTTGTACAGTTTTGATTTTTTCTATTGTGCAGATTTTTGTAAAATCGCGGCTAGCTTGAAAAGGGCACTGTGCAAATCGTATATCCATGTACTGTTTTTCCGACAGTTTTTTTCTCCACTAATTCGTATTTATTGATATTAAAGTCTAGGTAATGCTTTTCGAATGTTTATACCAACAACGTGTGTATTGCTGTGTGTTTGTTTATTCTACAGTTGCTAGAGGTATAGGGGAGGTTGAGATCTCACAAAACATGTTTAACCCCGCCGCATTTTTGCGCCTGTCCCAAAGTCAGGAACCTCTGGCCTTTGTATGTTTTTTTTAAATTTTG